CTCACTTTATATTATTTTTATTAAAAATATTTGCACTATAAAAATGATAAATAAAAGAAATAGTATTTTTCAATTCCCCTCATACAAGTACAGTGCAATCTCTTTATCGTGAAAGTGAAACTTACAAATGTAGATTTTTTTTTGTTTCATAACTGCAGTCAAAACCAAAACATTTTAAAACTTTAGAGCCTACAAGTCCGCTCAGTCCTACTTCTTGTTCAGCCAGTCACTAAAACAAACAAGTTTGTTTACATTTACGGGAGATAATGCTGCCTGCTTCTTATTTACAATGTCACCTGAAAGTGAGAACAGGTATTCGCATGGCACTTTTGTAGCCGACGTTGCAAGGTCTTTATGTGCCAGATATGCTAAACATTTGTCTGCCCCTTCATGCTTCGGCCACCATTCCAGAGCACATGCTTCCATGCTGATGATGCTTGTTAAAAAAATAATGTGTTAATTAGATTTGTGACTGAACTCCTTGGGGAGAACTGTATGTCTCCCACATCCTGTTTTACCCATATTCTTCCATATATTTCATGTTATAGGAGTCTCGGATGATGACCCATCACATGTTCATTTTAAGAACACTTTCACTTCAGATTTGACAAAACACAAAGAAGGTACCAATGTGAGATTTCTAAAAATAGCTACAGCGCTCGACCCCAGGTTTAAGAATCTGAAGTGCTGTCCAAAGTCTGAGAGGGACAAGGTGTGGAACATGCTTTCAGAAGTCTTAAAAGAGCAACACTCCCATGCGGAAACTACAGAACCCGAACCACCAAAAAAGAAAATCAACCCTCTGGCATCTGACTCACATGATGAAAATGAACATGCGTCAATCCGCCCTGCTTTGGATTGTTATCGAGCAGAACCCATCATCAGCATGGACGCATGTCCTATGGAATGGTGGTTGAAGAGGAAGGGACATATGAATCATTAGCGCATCTGGCATGTAAATATCTTGCAACACCAGCTACAACAGTGCTATGTGAACGCCTGTTCTCAGTTTCAGGTGACATTGTAAACAAGAAGCGGAGAGCATTATCTCCTGAAAATTGTAACCAAACTTGTTTGTCTGAGCCATTGGCTGAAGTAGGACTGAGTGGACTTGTAGGCTCTAAAGTTTTATATTGTATTATTTATGAATGCAGTTATTTTTTTGTACATAATTCTCCATTTGTAAGTTCAACTTTCGTGATAAAGAGATTGCACCACAGTACTTGTATGAGGTGAATTGAAAAATACTATTTCTTTTGTTTTTTACAGTGCAAATATTTGTAATAAAAAATAAATATAAAGAGAGCATTGTACACTTTGTATTCTATGTTGTTGTTGAAATCAATATATTTGAAAATGTAGAAAACATTCAAAAATATTTAAAGAAATGGTATTCTATTATTTTTAACAGTGCAATTAATGGCACTATTAATCAAGATTATTTTTTTTAATTGCGTGATTAATTGTGATTAATTTTTTTAATAGCTTGACAGCCCTATTTTATACATAGTGACATTAGTATCAGGGATCTGAGTACAATGGAAGCTGCTGGGTGCTAAGCGCTTTTGAAAATCTGGCCACTTCATTTAGGCACCTAAATAGGCAACTGGCTCTTTTGTAAATGTTGATACAATTGTGGGATAGAGACATGAAAATCAGGCAAAAAAATAAAGACATGTTACACTTTGTGGCTGATAATAATTTACTCTAAACTAACACAACAAGAATCCTCTTATATACTGATAGCAAGTACAAAGCATTTTTGGCAGAGCTTGTGAGGTCTTACACTCAACTCTGACATTTCTATTTGTTTGTCTGTATTTAAAACAATACCTTTTGAATGCCACATCCAACCAATTCCAAAATTTCAGGGAATGTTCCAGGCAGAGCCAAACCTCTTGATTTTGGGGAACATTGGAAAACTGAATGACGGGAAAATGGAAACACACGTAGCCCTGGCATTTGGTTAGCAGAACCACAGATTAACTGCTTCTGCAACTGTGTATAGATCAAACAGCTGGTTGATGGAACCCATTAATACCTCCCCATGCTCATCCTCCTGTCACAGATCTGGTTAGGCACCCCCTGGCAGCTGCCCATCAGATGGCTGAGAGGGGAATCCAAGCCTCTAGATCATTGGTGGTTTAAGACTCCTGGAGCCTGAATGGGCAGTCTCTGGGCAGCGGCGTAGCCAGGTTCTAAGAGCAGGGGGAGTGAACACAGAAAAAAAGGTGCCACGCATTGCGAAGCAGCAAAGAAAAAAGGAAAAAAAGAAAAACCAAAGTCTTGCCGAAGAACCCGCCGAATTACCCACCGCCGAATTGCTGCCGAAGACCCGGAGCGACTGAAGCACCCTGCTCCCCCCCAGCTACGCTACTGTCTCTGGGGTCCCTAGGCACACTGTTGGATTGCAGTCCCTGTGTCTAACACTCCCTCCTGACAGTTGGAACCCCTTGTCCAGCTGCCTAGCTCCTGGGCTCAATGCTGACCCTTCAGCTTCCCCTATTGCTTAAATACACACTCTTCCAGGACTACCCCGAAAGTGTGAGCCGTCTGGTTTACCATTTAACTCTCTCAGGAGGCACATGGCAGTAGCGAAGCATGTAACACACACACACATACACACACAGAGGCACTTTGCACAAACTCTAATACCACCGCTTTCTTGTACTTAATCATACATACCTAAGAGAGAGAACAGATCATATAGAACACAACTTCCCTAACCGCAATACACCTCACTAGCGCCCCCTTCCTTTGGGAGTCCTTGGAGACTATCTGCGTTTAGGAGGGTAGGCAGGGTCCCCTGCCTCACCCAGGCTTCTGAAGGTTGGGTTACCCCTCCCTCATCTTGAGCTGGAGAAACATGGCCCCCAGAAGAGCAGCTCTTGCCCCTTTTATAACTTTTTGCCCCCTTTGTCAGGTGACATCCTGCTCAGTTTCCCCGACTGATCACAGCCTCCTGCCTGCTGCCTTAGTTGCCAAGATGACCTCTCCCTGGCTAAATAGTTCTCTGGGTTGGGAGCCAGTCTATTGTTTACAGTTATTCCATTTTGATAGGAGAGCACTTAAAGTCAATGGTCCTCTCTTGTTATTCTTTTGCTCCCAGCCTTTTGAATTTCAGCCCAACATAGAAGCAACAGACAACGGAGAAGGCAAAAGGCTGCACCTTCAAAATGAAGTTGTTACAGCTTGGTCAAGATACATACAGGAAGTTCATAATTCAGGAGCTGCTTTTCTGACATAGTTTTTAAAAACGGACATAAATACACATGTGTAATAATATAAATAGACACACATTTATATCTCTCCATATAGATATATACACCTATGTACACACATATGTATATGTATTACTGGAATAATTAGGTCTTCATTTTCTTGAGCATTAATCTCATCCAGTTATTACAATGATGAAGGCAAACACAGTTGCATACCACTTCCTGGGCAGCTAGTGGAAGTGATACACAACCATATATAATAGCAATGGCTGAGATGTTGAACTATGGACAGATGCAGATTTTATATCTGAACTTGGGATGGTTGCTTTACCTTCATGAACATGCTGAATCCAGTTTTCAGGAGATCAGTGAGGCCTGCAGATAGGTGCTCAATATCAACAGGGTCAGGTCGATCAGAACTGAATATCTCCTCTACCACCTGCTTCAGTAATGGCTTGTAAGTGGCCTGCAAAAGTAGAACATGTGCTGAAAATAAAATTACCTGTACTTGTGGCTAGTTGCTTTTCTTAGCGTTTCATTTCCATTAAAGGAAACAAAAGCTTTTGTCACAGAATGGAAATTGATTGGACACATTTACAAGGTTGAAGCAACAACTGTATTTGCAACACTACATAGCAATGATATGCATAGGATTCTCATCTAACTGAAAATGCAATATTTACCCAGGTGCTGTGTGTACTCCATGTGTAAAGGGGGGCAAGGAAAAAAGTGTGAAGATTCTTGTGGGCGAAGAGGTCAAGCGGCCAGTCGAGGCTGCTGTTATTAGCAGAGTAGAGCGTATGGGCTTAGGCTTCTCTCCAACCCAAAGCTCCTCTAGGGTCATACAGAGAAGGCAGCGAACTGTCACCATACCTGTAAGTTATCTCGAATCCAGAAGGCATAATTTCAAGGAGACGTGTGGCTTTGTTGAACACTTAAACAGAAATGAGTACTCTGATTTGTTTATTTTAAGAGAATTTAGTGTGTTTGAAACAGGTTGTCCTGGTAGCTAGAGAAGGGCATATCAAGTAAAGTGTGAAATAATAATTCAGCCCCTACTCCTAGACCAGGAAGAGCTATTGGAGGAACAATCATGCACCTCTAGCTCTCCCTCCCTGCAGAGCCAGCCACTCCTGCCTCCTAGCTACATAGGAGAACGGGGACAGATTAAGACAATCTGGGGCCCTAGGTTCATAATAACATAATGACATGCAGCCTCCTGTGGTTCTGTCCTCCCAACACAACCCTCCATTTGGATTGATGCTGGCAGGGCCAGGGGCCCCTTTCCCCTGCAGGTGTTGCAGTAGGAGCCCCCATCCCTTTGGATGCAGCAGGGGTGTCAGCATGGGTCACTTGTCCCACACGGAGTCAGGGGGCAGTAGAGGGAACCCACGTACTTCCCCTGGCAGTCTGTTACTTAGGTGGGCATGTTTGCCACACACAAAGGCCTGCTCGACACCTAAATCTTAGATCAACCTAGCTATGATGTTCATGTGAAATTCACACCCATGAGAGACATAGTTAAGCTGACCTAAGCCCCAGTGTGGACATTGCTAGGTTGTGGAAAAATTCTTCCATTGACCTAGCTACTGCCTCTCGGAGAGGTAGATTTATTACATTGACAGGACAACCTCTTCCATCACTGTAGTCAGTGGCTACACTACAGCGGCGCAGCTGCAGCTGCACTGCTGCAGTGTTTCTAGTGTAGACTTACCCAGAGTCTTCTGTCTGTGTGGTGTTGGCAGAACCCCCTGGAGTTAGTGAGTCTTGGAGTGAACACTCTGCTGAGATCTTAAAGCTGTTCACATCCCTCAGAGCTATTATTTCAGGCTGTCTGCAAACTCACTGGTTTTCTTCACAAACATGATGGCAAAAAACTTAGTTTTGTTTTTCTAAATGAAAGCTGAGATTCTGATGTAGTTTCCCATGTGGGGAAAAGAAGGGAAAGACCCCTTCATCTCTGTTGTCTTCAGGATGTGGCCAGCTGGTTCCCTTCCCAGAACTTCAGGGTTAGTTGAGTGGCATGTCCTCACTGAAAGCTGGTCTGTGCTGCCTGCCCCTGCCCCCTGCAGTACATGGAAGCACTCCTCTTGCTCCTGCTAAGCTACACCTTTAACTCATATGGTCTAGGACACACAAGGTGACATTGGACCAATGGGAAACCTTGTCTGTTGGCCGAGTTTCTAGCACACTCTGGGATGGTCTGAACTTCCGAGTGTTAAGGGGTCAGTACAGGTGGAGTATTTAAAGATGTAAATCATTTCCTGTTCCCCCGAAGATACTAATTTAAATTTAGGGTGCAGTGAGCCTATTGGTCATCCCTTGAAAAAGACAGAAAGAGGAAGGGGTCTGCCAGCTGCCTTTGAAGACCCAGGAAAAGTCCAGCAAACTACCCCTGATGATCTAAGATTAGAGGGATCCTCCTCTAGAAGGAAGAGAAGTGATCTTCAGCAGAGGTGGTGGGGGAAGAGCTCAGACTCAGATCTGATATTTAGAGGTCTCAGTATGAGAGTATCAGAGCCCTCTGAATATGAATATCATCCAAACATTAAAACACAAATACCACCCACACTCTGTAAACATGCCCTCAATAATTTTGAGACATTGGGTCTGATTTTCCTTACACCAACGTAGATGAGAGGAGTGGTATTTTTTGTGACATGGACAGCTGTCAATTAGTGAATGGACTGAGACCACAAATTCTTTTCATAGTACACCAAATAGCTATCAGGTGATAACTTTCAGTGTCTATCAACCTGGACTGAATTTGAACTGGTGATCTAGAGATGAAAGGGTCTATATTCCATTACCAATGAGCCATTCCAGTGTAAAACTCTATGTAATATCCACTTAAAGCCACATATGAGCAATAGAAATGCATTAAAAATGAAACATTTGGAGCAGAGATCAAAACCAAAGTTAACCAGAAACCTATTATATGAAATAGAGGATAGATATCATCTGAATGCCATCATAGATGAACACTTACCAGCTAAGATTTTCAAAAGTGACTAATGAGTTTGGGAAGAGCTGGTAAAAATATTTTTGAAACTTCTTTCCAGCCAAAAATGTCATTTTGTGAAAACCAAAATGTTTAATGGAGCATATCAGCTTACAGGAAAATTTCCCTGTGAAGCTATCTCAGGTTCAGGATGGCACTACTAAAGAGATCCACCCCTGAATTGCCAATGGAGAGGAGAGGGCACTTACCTGGAATGTGGGATACACAGGCTCAAGATCCCACTCTGCCTGATCTAGAGCAGGGACTTGAACCTAGGTCTCCCACTTCCCAGATGAGGACCCTAGCTACCAAGACACCGGCTATTCCTGGGACAGGTTTCCTTTCTTTCCCTTATGTTGTTTTGTGAAAAATTTCAAAAGGTCACATTTTTGTTCCACACTGAAACAAAAACAAATGTCAAAACCTCAACATTTTTTTGCAAAACAGAATTCTTGTTTTCTAGCCAGCCCTAATTTTGGGTGCCTGGATACCCATGCTCTGAAAATCAGGGCCCTTCGAGTGTCTCAGGCTGGCCACCCAAAAAATGAGAGCCATGAAATCACTAGTCATTTTTTAAAATCTTGGCCACAATAATTACAATGCTTTTCAAAAAATAATGTAATCTCTTTCAATTCCTACATTAGACTGATAATAACAAAGAACTTATATCCTAATGCCTGCATTAAGATCCTGTCTGGAGATTTGACACTGCTAACATTTTTGTATAAAACTGTATTTAAACACAGTTCTTGCTAGGAAGTTGCTAACAAGTGGACCTGTCCCATATAGACAGACCAGGTTACCAAAAATTGTGTATGTAACCAGGATGAGAAATGACAGGAACAGAGCAGCAATTACAAGAGCAGGCAGAGCAGAAACATTCGTTGTGGAATCCTGTGATACATGTAACCATGAGAATAACTGATTGGTTAACTTTACATAAACATTCATTAGCTTGTTTAATACAGGACATTTGTGGTGATAAGAAAAGTCCTCTTTAAAGTTTCCTAGTAACTCAGTTAGCATCAGTATATTTTGGGATATGAACTCAATCAGAATAACTGCCCCAAAACATATCAATGCTGATAAAATGTCTATGAAATATCAAGAACCCTGCATAGGTGCTAACACAGTTTCAAATCTCAGTATGGACATGGCCCCTGGCAGGATGAGCTGAAGACTGGGGACTTTATCTGTACATAATAGAGATTAAACTAGGGTTTTTAAGGCTAGGCTCCTGGCCCAAGGAGCCATAGGCTGGGCTCTGTTTGGTGGCTTAATCAAACCTGAGGCGGTAAACAATAGTCTTACCCAGAGAAGAGCATAATGCTCAAGTAACCACTCAACTCCTCCCACCAGTTCATGTTTTTGTCCCGCCTGGAAATGCAGTGCCTCCTGATTCCCTGCAGTGGGTGTCTCCTCTCCGACTGACAGGCACTGGGAGCAACATTTACAGAAGTGTGCACCCCTATTACGTCACTCCTTGGTGGTAACTCTGAAAAATCCCTCTACTCAGAAAACCCACAGCGCTCTAACTCATAAAATGGTAACTTTTGTTCTTTTTCATTTAAAAGGAGAGGGACCCTGGGTCCCTCCAGCTCTCTCTCTTTGTAGCAGCTGTAGCATGGCAGTAAACCGACTAAACACCGGGGGAGAGGATTTGGGATCCATCCACAGATGCTTGACAGAAAAGGAGAGCTTGTTTGTATATGTCCCAGCCACCCCACAGATCCTGACCACAGTGAATCTGCATCTCTCTTCCTAATCTCCTTCTGCATGATCAGCTAGCGCAGTACAGAGCTAGGTTGGGCAGCTGTAAGGAATTAATGGATCCTTTACCTCCATAAAAGGCATTCCAAGACTTGGCCCTAAATGAGTAGAGTGGGTTAAAACCAAAGAACATACTTATGCTAACTACATTTCTAGGAAACTTTCAGAAGTACTTTTTTTTTATCATGCTGAGTATTCTGCACAGAGCTACCTAATGAATATTTTGATTATATTCTCTATATCAGCCATCATTCTGGTCATAAGTGCCAGAAGATGTCAGGATTAGGTTTTCTGTTTTGACAGCCATTGGAATTGCAGCTTGATCCCTGTCACTTTTTCACCTGCCTCTCCTACAGTTCTTCCACTGCACAGTCTCTTCAGCAATGTTGTGTAATAGCCAAAGTTCCATTGCTACACAGCATTGTTTGACTTACCACTAGAGTAATTTTATCCATTTGTTGGTCTGCAGTACACTGAAGTTTCAAAGGAATCTTTCTGGCTAAAGACCAGGGACAAGCTTAATGGTCTTTTAAAATCTTAAATTACTACATGTGCTTTCCATGTGGCAAATGTCCATTTCCAACTGAAGAAGTTATGTAATTTAGGGAGGTGGGAGGGAACTGGCTTTGGTCAGGATGACCTGTGCTAAAAGAAAATCACACTACTTCCACTAAACAGAAGCTATATTATCAAGCAATTTTTACAGCAATTGTGGAAATCTGAGAAAAAATACTTTGAAACACAGTCCCATGTAGGTACCTAGACATAATTTCAATATACAGAAGTGGATTCTGGCCCTGTGTAGTCTTGATCTAGCCCTGCCACTCATATGAAATGTATACAATATCACTACATCATTGTTATCCAAATCTTGAAGTCCTTACTCAGGCAAATTCCCACTGAAATCCAATGAAGTCAAGGGGAGTTTGCTTGATTCAGGACTGACTAAGGACTTCAGGAGGCTGCTGCTGATTAGATCAGTTCTAAAACCTATTTCCAAAAACATTCGGTGGGGTTGCAGAATATGTTTTGTATTCATACACAAGTAAATTAGTCACATCTGTGAAACTAATTTTGACTATATGCTAGAACAATATAACGCAGATGGAAAAAGGATTATCTACTTACCTGGCAGGTATTGCTTCCTGGGACATACACAGAATTAAACTGTTTCATGTGCATTCGAGCTCTTGTAATATCCCTGAGGGACTTAAAGATATTGTCCACTGCAACCGTAGCCTTCTGAAATGTCAGTTGAAGAGATGATTCACAACCTGAAACAATACAGAAACACATGGCCGTGTGAACAAAGGTCTTTCCATTTTTTGATAATGAGCAGTGGGAAAAGGATGAGGAGGAAGAAATTTTAAATTAGTTTAATATTTTTAGACTTTAGAAATCAACATGTATATACAACATGCTCCCAGCATAGAACAGCTTGGTAAAGCAATCACAAATCCTAGAGAGTAAACAAAGCCAATAGTGGATGAGTTACATGTGCATCTTGGATTATGAAACAATTTAACATCAATACCATAAATTCTGTTTGCTACAGTAGGCAGAAAAGGTAGTTATGTCATTAGATCTTTAAGGGATAGATCCCTGTTAAAGGGAGCACCTTCATTTTTCAGTCTGCTCATTGTGACACAATCGTGCAAGGAAGTTTACTCACAACATAGTACCTGACCCTTTGCCTGCAGTCCAGTGACCAAGAAGCCATTTCTTAGCTGTGTAGAACTAACTGGATGACTTAGTGACAGTATTCTGAATTGCCAAGGAAGATGCAGTATTATCCAAAAGGAGATATGTTCCTCACTAATTCATAATTACTATATATTTTTTAAAATTTATTTGCTTAAAGCAACTCAACCTAAGATGTGAACGTTAATTTTCATTGAGGCCTTACTTTTTAACCCAATTCTCTCCACCAGGTGGAGGCACAAAGGAGTGGATGGTCAAATGATTTCCCCAAGCCATATCCAGTTGTAAGCCCAGGACTTAGTAAGGAAGGATTCTAGTCCTTGGCTCTAATCACCACACCATCTGACCCATATCACAAAAAAGAATGGAAACAGCGCTTCCTAAACTTAAATGGCTCAAGTTAGAGAATTACTGGACAATTCATTGTTTATACTGAGATGCTTGTTGTTCCTGCCGACTATCTGCACAACTCTCTCCCTGCCTAGTTTTCTGCTCTCATTTCTTCATCATTCTCCCCACTGCCTCTAATAGTAAAGGATACAGAGAGTGTAAGAAAACCCTCACTCTCATCCTCACAAATAATTTACCACTGGGAACTCAGGGTGCATTCTGTTTTGCTGGTTTACATCCCGATTCTGCAATATGATCCACATGGGCCGGCTCTTACATCTGCCTACAATCCCACTGGCATAAGTGGGCTCCCTCTAGGCATGAAAGATTGCCTACATGCATCAGTATGCAGGAATGGTGTCTTGGGATTGTGTCTTGCATCCTTGGGATGGTGTCTTGTAAGAATGCTTAATCAATACTAAAGACTTTGGTTTTCCATGAATGGAATAATGGCCAAATGTTTCTATACAGCAAAGACAGATAACAAGAAAAGCAAAACTGTGTAGATTTAAAGAGATGCCTAACATTAAGGCCTTTGGAATCATCACCTGTCAAACCACCAATGACACACAAATCTCTGTATTCTGCACAGCAAACACTAAGAACTTTATAGTGCTGAAAATATTCCTACAAGATTATTATTAGGTATTGGGACTGAAGGAACAGGTTCTTTGTCCAAATATTAGGTGAAAAAGAATCTGGGTCAGATTCACAGCTGATATATCAGGGCAACACTCCATTGGATTTTCATTTGTGCTACAGCTGAGGATCTGGCTTTCTAACTATTCATAGCCATTGTGTGGTCTAGTAATGCACTGGGACTGGGAGCCAGAAACTCCTGCATTCTAACCCCAACACTGACACTCACTCAGATGTCCTTGGGCAAGTCACTTGAAATCTAGTCAATTTTTAAAAAGTGAGTGAAAAGCTGTTTCAGGTACTGTGTTTGTTCAAGTCCCCCTGCAAACTGTTGTGATTCTACCATAATCATTTCCTGTTTTAAAAACATGCTTCTCTCTCTCTTGTTGTTGTGTGAACAATCTGCACAGCCACAGAAACTAATTTAGGCCTTAATCCTTCATTGACAAGTGCACCTGCTTCCTACCAATGACAGGCCAGGGGCCCTAATCCTTCAGACAGTTATATATGTCCACATCTTTACTCACATGAGCAGTCCCATAGACATCAGTCTACTCCTGTGGGTAAAGTTAAGCATGTGTGTGTTTGTAGGAATGGAGCCTAACTTATTCTATAGTGAAACTACCAAATACACAAATTTGTGCTACTGAATGCACAAAGTAAATAAACTGTGGGGAAATTTTTTTTCTCTAATATCTGTCAGCTGTAGTAAGTTTTAATATTATTTCTAACAATAGTAGCTAAAAAAATTCAGATAGATTTTAAATTGACAATGTCCTTTTAATCTGTCTTGTTTTCCCAGTGAGTAAAATGAGGGTCCTAATACTTCAGTGGGGTACTCAAAATGTATCTGCCCTGATGGGGTGGTCTCCCTCTCTACGCTATATTAAATTCCATAAGAGCCAAGCTTTCTCCTGTTATGTAAACACTAGAAGGAAGCTTTTTCTGACTAGCACAAGTTATTTTTCCTTTGTATAAAGTGCTTTCTTCAATCCTTTATGAGAAGAAAGTCATCGCTTTTGGCCAAAACACATCTGGAATGTTTTCTTTTGCTAGTGAACCTCAGCACTCTTTGTTAAGCAAGGTCAGGTAAAGCAAAACCACATGAGGCAAAGTTTGTTGCTTTTGCTTTGGACATTTTCCTTTTTTTATTAAAGATTTTATTTTTTGTCATTTCAAAGTCCATTGTCGTGTTCTTATAGTTATTTTTCTCATTAGCAGAGACTGCTCTGTATATAATTTCTTCTTTCTTCCATTGACAGCTCTTTTACTTCAAAATCGTCTTCAGATCAGAATTTTTAAACGTTCCACCCTCCACTTCTTCTGAAATGTAATGACCAGTCACTGAGGCCCATTGCCTTGCATTCTGTGCAGTCATTTATGCCTGTGCAAAGTGGGCATGAAATGCTACCACAAGTGTCTGTGAGTGGAGAGTTCTTATTTGGCAGCATATTACAGCTCCACTGCATGTGTGTGAATGACTGTACTGGGGGAAAGGCAGTGAGAATCAGGCCCTGTATGTATATGGTGCAACAGGATAGGGACTCCATATAGATACACTAAGACAGTCGCAAACACTAGCAATGATCATTTTGTGTTCTTTTGCTTTTATTGAATCTTCTATTTTCATATTTCTTAGCTACAGTTCTCTTTGTTTATTTATTTATTTTGATTTGAGCCTGGCAATTGTTTGGTTGTTGTTCTCTCTGCATTTGGCACATAATCACAGCATGTCTTGTTCTGCTTTCTTTGTTGAGATCGACCTGTTGTTAATGCATTTCTTGATTAACTGCATGCCCTTTAATTACTTGACTAACTACCCATCTTATTTATAAACATTGATTTTTCGTGTACCCATTATTTTTACAGTTTATGTTAACAGAGTCAGATTTTAAGGCCGTTAGATCACTTAGTTTGATGTCCAGTATAACACAGACCCTATAATTTCATCTAGTTACTTGTGTATTGAGCCCATTAATGTGTTTTTTTTTTTGACTAATGCATGCTTTCCAGGAAGGTACCTCGTCTTAATTTAAAGACTTCAAGAAATGGAGAATCCAGCACTTCCATTGGTAGTTTGTTCCAATAGTTAATCATCCTCACTGTTAAAAATGTATGCCATATTTCTAATTTGATATTTGTCTAGCTTTAACTTCTACCCATTGTAAAGATGGAATTTTAAAAGGACCTTATTTTATGAAATATTTATTTTAATTTGTTTCGTATAAATTTCTGTGCATTTTCTAGGATTCACTGGCTTTAAAATTAAAAAGGAAGCATTAATTTTTATATTGCACTTCTGATTCCAGGAAAGGAAATAAGGAATCCTTCTGTTCAGCCTAGAAACAGATTCCAAAAATTCAGCCAAGAATCTTCAAGACAATTTACAGTGACCTAATACGTGTGCAATCTGAGACACCAAGAAAACCTTATATTATGAAAATACTTTACATAAGAAACATTTACATTGTGGAGTTCAAAAAGAGAAACTTGCTAATAATAAATATTCTGCTCAGGGTTTCATTAAGTCAGGTTGATTACAAGTATTTAGTGAGTACTTCGATTTCAAGCAATCATTTTCTTCCTCTGACTTTTCCCATTTTAGAGCTATATTCTTTCACATTTAGAAATCCATGGCATACTGCACAGCTGGGTATAGATTACAAACCACTGTAAACTCCCCTGAGATGGAATATAGTCAATTCTAACAATTATTCTAATTGGATTAAAATGACTTTAAGGCACACAGTTATGAAAAGCATCTCCCTGACATTCTTTCAACTGTTACAATAATTGTTTTTCAGATTCCACCATTTCAACCTTTAGAGTCCTGCAGACTCCACGTTACCATCCCTCGGGTTCAATGTATCAGCATTAGAAGCTTCTGCTATAAACTCGATCCACAGGCATCCAAAGCTCTAGGATAAATTTTTCATTAGCATGTTGGATTGTCGAAGTGCACCATACACATTAGAGAGAGATGGAGAACTAATGTGCAAATTGATATATGAAGTGATTAGAGAGGGTTGTAGCCTCATCTCATAGCTCTCTGAAGTCGGACGAAATGGACAGTTGGCACCACTGAAGAAATAGGGCTGAAGTAAAGGCCTGTGGGTCCTGGGAAGACAACAGTGATGAAAAGCGTGCCTTGGGAAGGAGGGGTACTGGGGGAGGTGCCTGTTTTCTGCTTTCATACCCAGAAGTAGAAGTTCACATTTCCCAGGTTTTGGATCCAGTTTGGAGTCTGAGAACGTTTGGATCCAGAGTTCCAGTTCAGGGCCATCTCCAATCTCTTTCCTTCAGCTATCCTCAATGGTATATATTCCTTCTGTGCCACCAGGAAAAAACTCCATTCACATGATAATAAATCAGACAACTCCAGTCAAGTTGGACTTTTTTCAGATAGTTCTCTTTGGAATCAGAATTTGGCTTTGTCCTTGTTAGTGGTTTGGGCACATTGGCACCAACAGGCCATAGTCTTCTAGATAAAAAATGCTCACACCACCATATTATGGAGTAGCAGGAAGTGCTGCAGGGATAAGAG